CAGCTCAGTATAAAGACCTGATTAGATTAGCTTTGATTAGATTTGCTGTCTGAACGAGGCCTCCTAGAGGGGGGGCTGCGGTGAGGCCTCCTTAGAGAGGAGAGGTGGTGGTGGAGGGGCGGTGGGCTTGTTCTGTTAATAATGTGCTAAATTAACCATCTCAGCTTCTCTCTGCCTGGAGCGACATGTTTTATTCATGTCAATAGACTTAACAGGTGTGACGTGACAGGTGTTGCTGCTGTTTTTTTTCTCCCTCTGATCACAACTCGGGAAAAGTTGTTAATTGGGTCTCGGGATTTCTCTTTTTCTTTTTTTTAACAAAAATGCTGCTGTGAATTTTTAATTAAAGGAACATTCCTCTCGATTTGAACTCCATTTTAAAGTGGAAAATTCATATAGCAGAGCACACATTGTGGAGTTTTTAACTGTGCATCTCATCGATCGAGTTGTGTGTTCACTGGATCTTCTCAGGCTTGAAGTTCCAGTTCTTCTTTTGTTGCCAGCTGTCAGCCGCCCAGCTCTTCTTCTGTTAATTATAGACAAAGCATACATGTTATTTATATTGGCACTATCACTGTATTTTTGTTGTCAACAATTCCGTTTCCCACAACTGAATAATACACAAATAAACATACTGTAAGTTGATCTAATCAACAATTATTATATCTCTCTTTACCACCCCCAAATGAAGATTATTTGTAAAATAGGGAATTATGAGCATGCCCTAACTGCTAGGGGAGCCTCGTGAGAAAAATGTTAGTAATCTGTCCTCGTCAGTCCTGGCGTTCCTCAAGGATGTGTGTTTGGACATCCAAAACTTAAGACTGCTCTCCTACACACATGGACCATATGCACCTGCTTCACTTTTGTGAAAATCGATGCTTATGTGTCCAATTGTAGTTCAAACATAATGAAGACATGCCAACGCCAGGCTGCAACGGACGATTATGTACAATACATTTTTTTTTTTAAATGTTATCGACTTTTGGTCATTTCTGTCAAGTGACTAAAGAAATAGTTGACTATTGACTTTTGTGACTTATATTGTGTTTAATCAATCAGTGCTTCCTGTGCAGTAGTTCTCCAGATCATGAGGAAAATATTAGTTTTCCGCCCAATGTAGCTACAACCAGTTGTACTATCAACAAAAACACTGCACGTTTTCAGAGACACTTCACCAAAGCCAAAAAGAGTTTTTCGGAGTAAGGAAGTAAAATGACTCTGAGAAGTGTGTGGTAGCAGTACTGAAGATTACATCTAATTAGTGTGTATAGAAATCATAAATTCACAGAGCCGCTCCAGACTGTGCGCTGTATTCTCAGTAGGGTGGTGTGCTGCTGGCGGCTGTTCCTGCTGTGGTGGAGCTGTAATTTATTCATTGAACAGGTGAAGGCGGCGAGAAGTGGGTCGGTTTCTCCTCGCCTAATGAAAACTCAAATCCCTCTGACTCCTGTAAATTGGTTAGGCGGTGTCAAGTGTCTCCCAACACGTCCCCACCCTCCCAATATCCCCCCTCCCATATCACACACACACACTTAAAGAGCACACACACTACGACTCATAAGGTTGCTCGTCTCAATGCAGACAGCGGGGACGTGACACTCCAGCTCCTGTCCTACAAGGACACACTCTAGAGCAGTCACACACACACACACACACACACACACACCAGAGTCAGGCTGCTCTGAGGCCGTGGGACAGCCCCATCTGTTTGGGAGCCAGCGGCGGTGACATTTAAAATTGATTACAAAGGGAAAGATTGATTATGATAATGTTCACTTATATTCACTCATTACGGAGTTATGGCTGCTCATAAATCACTGCTGTGTCATCTGGAGATGATGAAGAGGAGTGTGGTATTAACAGCATGATCCTCTGCAGACTGAGGGTCATCGTTTTTAGATTTTTACTGATTTTATCTAATCTGAGTGTAGTTTAAACATTCAGTTCCACACCTGAACCAGACGTTGAGCGGTCTGTTAGAAAGGACTGATACTTAACATTGCCCTTAACCTCCCCAATATATATGACCTTATGTCATGCTGTGCCCTGATCATGTGAGCGGAAACAGAGAACCTGCTTACACCCTGTTTGAGAGCCATTTGATAAGATTTACTCGATAATTGTAGTGATGTAACTGCCCAGCTGTGTGTCTCCCACTGAGGGAAAGAAAGGTACATTTGGCTTCGAATCGTCTGCCTCATAGTCAGAGGTCATCATTTGCTTCAAGTCTATATTATAATACTAAACACTGATTAGTTTCTGTTAAGTCATACAGGGAAAGGGAGACATCAGTCTAGTTGCAACTCTGCACTCTAATGTAGCTGCACATACAGCAGAACTGTCATCAGATCAGTTTACTTTCATATGAGATGTTATATCATGTTTTAGGGCTGCTTACGTGAAATGTAATGCCAGCAAACAACAGTAAAATGCAATCATTGAAATTATGAATGGCACCACCAGTGACGGTTTTTGCACATTTCTGTCTACTATGAATACCATTAGCTGTTAAATGATAGCATTTAACAAAACAATCTTAACTCAAGACCCCTCACTAACTTGATGAGCTTCTTTTATTTATTTTTTACGTCTGACATTTTAAAGACTCAACAATTTGTCAAAAAGAAAATGTATTAAATGAGTTGCTGCTGTAATGAGCATAACACTTTCCATTGTGAGGTAGTCTCTTGTAGATGATGTCAGACACATTTTACATTTTATGTATGCACCATGACATCAAGTCAAATTCCTCGTATGTGTGAACCTACCTGGCAATAAACCCGTTTCTGATTCTGATGTCCTGCCCTATGTTTTTAATGTGGGTTATCCTCTTTTATTGTAAGCCAAGTAAATTATGTCTAATCTGAATTGCAGCTCTGAACTTGCTTGTTGTGAATACACCCTAAAGCAACTACCAAATACTTGTAACAACACGGTGTCACATCTGAGTCAAGACTTTTCCCCCCTTTGCGTCTTTTCTGTCCCCCTGTGAACTAAATGCAAGCACCGTAAAATCACATTTAAAGCACTATAAAGCACTTTACCCCTCTACCTTCTTGTTTCATGTCTCTGTCGTCCCTCTGTCTCTAATCTCCCCCAGCACCACTTTGCTGCCTCCCCTGTAATCTTCCCTGCAGCCTAAGTCGCTGCGAGTCACACTTGGGTCATGGGAACTCACAGCTGCTCGTCCGGCCTCATGCAGTTGATGGACAGCGAGCTCCATTTTGGTTTGTTTGCTGATGCCCGTGAAAAAAAAGGAAAAAAATAGCCCTGCACCTGAAACAATCCAGAGTGTGCGTTTGTTGCTGTGGGATGGCGGAGCGCGTCTCCTCTGGGAAGTAGGCCATAGTGTGCAGGCATAGTGTTGCAGGCATTCTGCGCTTTCTCTCAGAATATCCACAGAAAACTGTATCGCAGCACTAAATGGTCTAATCTAATATTGATGTGAATTATACACAACACCAGTGATGGAATGTTACTAAGTACATTTGCACTTAAGTACTATTTTGACATCCATGTACTTTAATAATATTAATGATAAAGCTTTATTTGTAAAGCACTTTTCATTCACAGGATGCAGGTCAAAGTCGAGAGAATAAAAAAAAATATATATAATCAAAAAGTTTACAACAGATTGTCCACTTAGTAAAAGTTGTATAGACATAAGGAAAAGTGAATTAATACAAAACAGTTATAAAAAATTATAAATAAATTGGACAATATGAAAGATATTTTCGGCGACTTGAGGAATATTTAAAAGCCTGCTGCTCAGTTTTTGAGTATTTGATGCTACTTTATACTTCTACTTCACGACATGTCTCACTACTATAATGAATTTAAACTTACAGTTAGAACATGCGGTGAATATATCCAAACATTGCGACAATTGATCGCATTTCAAATTATTTCAAAACGTGTTGTCACTTGCTGCCTTTTTCCTTATTCTGACTCACACTCAAGTGTTACTCAGAGGAAGCGTACAACAAATGCCAATAAATGATGCACGGCAGCAAGAATGCTCATGCAAACTCTACGCAAAAGCTATGTATTGTAATTACATTTTATATCTATACATCGCACTGTATTTTAATCATTCTTGTTATTCGTATTCTGTGTAATGACAATAAAGCTAAATCTAATATAATCTAGAAAAAATGTCATCATGAAATCATTATAATTTCTTCTAGCATTTGCTTTTACTTTAGTCTACAATGTGTTATAAGAAACCCTGAATGGTATCGATCCCATCACCCAAAGAGTCTCCCCTGACACCTGAATTAAAAGACACACCAAGCCCTTACCAGATCCATGTGGAAGAAGGCAAGGAAAAATGAATTCCCCTCTTTGGAAATCAATACATTACCACTCAAAATGCCCTTGAGCAAGTCATCAAATCCCTACGATTTCACGGGGCGCTGACCTCCCGGTGGATCGAGGAGAAGACGAACGTACGCCCTCTGATATCGATACGGTGTCATGGAAAAAGATCATCGAGATCCAGAAGTGACAAAGGGAAAACTGGATTTAATGTTTGGCTCTAAAACAAAATCATTTTAATAAATAAGACCTGTCAGGTGAAATATGGAAAAGGCAGTTTATTCTTGTGTGAATGTGTTGTCTTTCATCATAACAGTGGCTGCACTCTTTAACTAGCCTCGGGTTGATGGAGGCTAATCAGTTACAGCAGTGTGGGAACAAGAATTATTTTCCCACCGTTATTCACCTTAATGCAGTGTGTGTGTGTGTGTGTGTGTGTGTGTGTGTGTGTGTGTGTGTGTGTGTGTGTGTGTGTGTGTGTGTGTGTGTGTGTGTGTGTGTGTGTGTGTGTGAAGACTCGTGTGTTTCTGTTTATGAGTTACGGCATCTCGTATCTAGGTTTCTGTGCAAACTCCACATCATGTGCATGTCTTGAAGTGGGCATATCTGAGTTTCTGTGTGTGTGTGTTTCTGTATTAGCGTGCATTCTGATAACCTCTGCCCCCCCTTCTGTGTTTCAGCGAGCGTACACTGTGATATTGGAGGCGTGGGACAGGGACAATGGCACACACAGCAATGGTAAGCATCATTTTACCAATTTAAACATTTTTCCGATGTCCGTCCTTTAATGTTGTCTTTATATATCATAGCTCTAGTTAATGTGATTATACTTAGGTCATGGTGTTTGTGTCATATTCTGGCTCAACTCAGCCGTTTCTTTGGCTTTGATTTCTTGCTAGTAATCTACAGTTTTATTCCCATCTACTGTAATGGTTCACAGTGAAAGTGATGAGCATTAACAAGAACTAGCAAAAATGGGACATTATGTCATGCTTACTGACACCTGTACGCCCGAGGGCTATTTGGTAAGCAGAATGGAAAGAAAGCCAACTCACCCACTCATATGAAACACCTGCAATCTGTTGACTAACATGAAAGGAATGGGAGACGTGTGCCATGTTGTGAGATTTGTGAATCTGTGCAGGCATGTCAAGTTTACCCATCAACGCTGCACCTTCAAAGTGAGGCATTGACTTCCTCATGCACAGATCTGATTTGTCATTGAGTTTTCCTAACGCTCCTCCACCACCGTTTCCCATTTCTCGCCCTCTTCACGGTCACTCTGACTGTTTTTGGCCATCTCTATATAAAGCCTGTGAGAGCATTGCATCGTTAAGCCATTAATTACGGACCGCAGCAGCTTTTCTTTTCCCCCCTGCCCCTCTTTCCTCTGATGTCTGTCTCCTAATTAGCATCCCGACAGCTGTCCGGCTACTGCACGCACTTCATTATCCTGAAGCACTGTGACACGCTGGCATCTAGGCTGCCATGCCCCGGCCTGGACAGCAGCTCTCGTGGAGTGACACTTTGGTTTCTGATCACTCCACCACCTGTCGATGGTGCAGTGTCATGGGTGGAGGGATGCTTTAAAAGGGCCTTATTAGGCTTTTGGGGCTTTTTCCTTCCCTGTGGTGTGTTGTATAGGTTTTTGTGCATGTACCGTAATTTTCGGACTATAAGCCGCGCCTTTTTTCCAATTTTTCGACGCTGCGGCTTATATAACGGTGCGGCTAATCTAATGGATTTTTACAGCTAACGGCCCTAGGGGACCTCCTAATCTATGGATTTTACGGTTACAGTCACACCTTGAACTCTATGGCTCTAATGCCGGTCCGCGCCCCCACGCTTTAAGCGGCGGGCTCCAGCAGGAAAGCTGGAGGCCGGAAAAGAGTAGACAGGTAGCGCGCGCAAAAGTAAAGTGTGGAACCGAGAGTGGTACGAGAGACAGAATGAGAGCAAGACAGCGACATTCGAGGAGCGAGACAGTTTTGTCCCCGTACCACTGGTTGAAAACCACTGCTGTAGATCACTGCCGTAGTCGCTGGGAGCGCGCACCGTTTAAGTTTGAAAGTTGAAAAGTTTGTGTGTCTGAAACGCTATGTGTGCAGTACCAGTACTACAGCAGCCAGTACATGTTCTGTAGTCTACATTGCACTTAATAGGTAACACTTGGACTACGTTATGCAAATAGTGCACTTGTTTGGTGTTGAAAATGTTATAAGATGGGAGCGTGTTATTCCGAGCATCCCTCGTGTGCACGAACCCTGGGTGAGTATGTGAGTGGTAAAAGTTAAAGACACCTGT